TTTTTTTTTTTTTTTTTTTTTTTTTTTGTCGAAGATGATTCATCATATCTATCTATCCAGAATTCCTGTATAAGTTACTCCAAAAGAAAGTCTCACACATAAAGATAATGTTGAGTTTGAAAAAGTGAATAGTGTTCAGAACAAAAGCAAGCTTCTAATGCCTTCTCGACAATAATAGGATAAAAAAGTACAGCTAACAATTTAATTTTTTGAAGAAAAAATAATACAGCTTAAAACAAGAAGATTGGACATTTAATTTGAGAAGATAAATTCCTAGGAAACTCCAGAGAAGTTGGCCTCTACAAATAGTAATTTGATTTCTTTTTTCCGTTAACAGAGAATATTAAATATACTTATACATCATTACAAAAGGAGGTACTACAAGTAGTGACATACTGTTCCAAAATAGTAATTTGATTGTTATGCCATTGGAGGACCTTTATTTAATTTTATTTTCATATTTTGTCTCTTCAAGCAATTTTTATGTGCTCTTTTAAAGTAAGGCTCTGAACTTAGATGCCATTACCTTAATTCCAATTTCCCACAATCACTGCATCTCTATCAATTATTCATTTTGCCATCAGAAAGCAGTTGAGTCAAGTATCAAGCAAAGCAAAAGTCTAATCTTGAATGCACATAAACTCATCTTTCTCACTTTAACAGCACAGAATAGAAGAATGAAAGTTACAAGAGAAGTTGAGAAATCACTCAATTAGGTACTATGATATCCAAGATACTACCACCACCCCCACCCACAAAATTGATGCATGATTATATGAAATTTCTCTTTGTTTTCTCATATGTAAACATCTGCAGGAACAAGGAATGTTATTCTCTATCTCAGTAATTCAACTACTGAAAGGGGACAAAAGGTGATATATAATTTATTCGCACACCGCTATCCTCATGTGACTGGACTCTAGAGGAATAATGTCATAGATCATCTCCCTCCATCAATAGTCAACCATCTATTTCTACTAACAATTTACAGGATGCTGATTCCACTTGGGAGAAGCTTAACATCCATGCTGCTCAAGTAAAATCTTCAACAAGACTTTAAGTTGCAACAGATATCAATGTAAGCTGGGTCAAACCTGTTTGAACACGTCAGTATCTGGGAGTCAATGACATGTTGCAAATTGCAAGAAATAAATCATGTAACTAACCCTGAAAGAGAGAAACTAAAGGAACTGTCGCCATCATTTTATTAGAGTCGTGCACAAGAATATTCTTACATTGGGCTCTTGATCCATATTCAGGTAAATGCTATAACTTAATGGAGCCATTAGAAGATAATTACTATTAGGTTGCCAGAAACTATAAGTATGAGAAATGCAAATCCTGATATAGTTCAAATGCATAAAATTTCCAATGAGTTTATCTGCTTGGGAGCTTACGTTCATAACAGAAATTTTAGTGTACTTAGTTATTTACATGCATTTGATCATCTTGTCAGCATTTTCCAAAACATGCTAAATTTTTTTCCACCATGCTATACTTTTATGAGTTTATCTACTGCAAAACCGTGACTAAAATATGAAGACTTCTCTAAACGAGTTAATCTGATTGCAAGAGAAGACCCCTAAATTTCAAAAAAAAAAAAAAAATTGCTTCAAGCCTCCAATTAAAACAGCAGGGCTAAGGGTAACATGCCTATGGGCTATAGCTATTCCAAGCATAAAACCAAAATAGACTACTAGATCAAAAGAGCAATAACTACAACTACTACTTTCAAAGCAGATGACAGCATATCCAAGTGGCGGATCAAGCAAATCAAGAGAAGATATTTCGGCCATGTGGAAAATTCCCAATTACTCAGTAATTTGAAATGAGAGTAACTCTAAAGTCATTCAATCCGTGGTTCCTCTCTCTACCATTAGCTTTTGAAACACTAAAGAGATCTTTCAGGTTTTATTTTATCAAAAAGTTGAGTCTACTGGGCAAATATTCGGAATTATTACGTATTCAATAGCTTTCATGTCTTGTAATTCTTGTCCAACCCTTAAGTATTAATCTTCTGCACATTATATATCTTGTTCTTGTCATCAGAAAGTTGCTTTATTTTTCATCATTCGGAAATTGGAACTTCGAAAGGAACCACTTTGCAAGAAATAAAACTAAGACTTCAAGTTCAGCTGAATGAAACAGTACATAATGTATATGTTCTGACAAAAAAAAACATACTACATATGCATATAGGGAATAAAGCACATGCAGAAGATTCTTCGACGACGTTTATACTCACAAGAAAATTGGACCGACTTATTGATAAACTTGAATGTGTTTTGGAATTTCTCCTTTTCTTAATAGGGAAAGAGAGTATTCAGCAGCATCAATAAGATCTTGAATGTTGTGAAGGGATCGTTCCTCGGAACCCAACATGAACATGGCACGAACCTCAGCTTTCTTTTGAAGCCTAGCTGCTAAGTTGAGTGGCAAAGCAGGTGAGTTAAGGCTCCTCAAGATTTGCCTATACAAAGACAGAACTCTTCCTCTATTCTTTGCCAAGTCTTCTGCTGTAGCCCATATCAACCCTCTTGCCATTTCTCTCTTCTGTCACAAAAAACTTGAGTAAATTTCCATAATATTTAGCTCAACTCCCACATGTAAAAAAAAATCTTTTTATCCCATATTGAGCAAAAAATAACTTAATAGAAATTCAATTATTTCCAAGGATTAAAACAAAATGCAGCATACCCGCAATTTATTTTGGTCCAAAATCAAAAAAAAAAAATTCAATTAAATAACAAGTATTTAATGATTGAAGGAGACACATTGGACTAGGAATTTCATCAAACAGTTTGCGGGCAGTACTCAATGCTGATGTTGGTTGAAGAAAGAGAATTAAAATTAGTAACTTTTCTATATATATTTTCAGGAATTGGATACCAACCAAGAAGAATTTGTTTATATTGCAAACTGACAAAATCTGAGAATAGCTTACCGGCAATTTTATTGAAGCTTAGAGAACTGTATTTTGTAAACGGAAAGCGTTTATTTACGTCTGCTGCCAAAGTTTTGAAAACTATACTTCTTCCCCGTATTTTGATATAAAAGCCCAACTCTCCCCAAATTTCGACCACATGCATCAACGACCCCCTAAATTTGGCATTATTTTTTATTTAGATACCTTAACTCTAGATCTGACTTATTAAACACCATATGCTGTTTGTGTTTGGTATGTATCTATTGAACACGTATATGACATTTCGAAATAAATCAAATCTTTATAAATTCAAAATTGAAAAGAATGTGAAAGTTTTAATTGAACACTACTAGAAAAATGTCCATGTTACAAAAGAATACTTGAACATAAAAAATAAAAAATAAAAATTAGGCAAACATATTTTATTCTCCTGCATTTGTGTATAATTTAGTATTCTCATTACTTCTATTGTACCATAGTTACCAACTTACCATTACCATCACCACCGTAATAATAATATTATTATTACCATTGTAAATTTGCAGCAAAAATATTTTTGAACTTAATACATTAGATAGGGTGGCGAATAGTGTTAGAACAAAATATTACGTTAACACAGTTAAAGACTTACAATAAAATTGGTCGGATTGAAGTACTCAAAACTATAAAATGATTGAAAGTCCATCTACAAGGAAAGTTTTTATTGTTCATTACGCTCTAACTGCCTTCCCAAATTAGTTCTTTATTCACACTTTTTGGTTGATCGACTCAAGAATAAAAAGAATTTATCCCTTAGAATCTCTTTATCCAAAAATATTTGCAATTTTTCATCCAATATTATATGACATGCTTTGACTTTTATGAGAAAAATTGAATAGCTTATTACATTTGAATGTAGTAGATACAAGTAATGTTAAGAATGCCAGATCAAATTCAAAATAATAATATAATAGTATTGTAATGTGTTAACTTGAATTTTGAAATTGACAAACTATACAATTGGAGGAAAGAGATCACGAACTAAAACAAAAAATAAATCAAACAAAACGAGACAAAGGACTAATTGTCAAAAAGTCCCTCTTTCAGTTCATAATATTTGATTGCTTTTGTTTAAGAGTTCACCGAAAATGGCTAATTTGAAATTTGTGCAATGATAAATCTTCTGTGGATTCTCATTTTGCTTCCTTAAATATGCAGATTTTATATCAATAAGATTGGTTTTGAGCAAAAATAAAGGTTTCAAATAGAGAAACAAGTAATATAATCAACGGAATAAGCGCAATTCTGGTCAGAAGGGTCTCTTGCTACCCTCTAAAACAGCCCATCTACCCCCAACATATGAAGGAAAATAAAATGAATGTCTCTTCACTTGACATGAAATTGCACTCCATGTTTTTTTGTTTTGTTTAGGCATTCGGTATCTGAAACTCACTGCACTTGAGGTTCCCACTGCAGCAGCACAACCGCTTTCACACCTTCGTCATAAGAAGAAGGACCCTCTGGCCCCGCTTAAACCTTTGCAACTTGGCTGGGTCACTTTTCAGCATAAACTGAAGTCCACCAAAGGAGATATGAACCACTCTGAACACAAAAGAGAAGATACAAATTATTAATAGACCGTCTTAGGTTGGATATCTAAGCTTAACCTTTGAAAATATGCGGAACAATAATGATGCTATAACAAGCTTATCCTCATGAAAGGCCATAAAATGTACCATTAGCATCCTTTAAACTACAACGGGATCCACGGGGAGCTTTCAGTTTACCAGATAATTGAACAAAGGCCAAGGTTTGGAGTTGTTTGTTCAGCGACAATAGGATAAGACAACCAAGAGCAGATAAATGGCAAATTACTCCCAAACTTAAAGAACAGAAGAAAATAGACATGAGGGAAATAAAGAAGGTAATGCATCTGTCAATTCCTCTTATGTTTTTTGGCTCTTCTTTCTTCAATCCACAGAACATCTTGAAAGTTGAAACTAGCTAGCAATTTCATATAAGTTATGAAGAAGTGGGACAAGTAGAATATACTACATACGCTTTAGTGTCAGATCCTGATGTATCCGTTGAGACATTATACACTTTCCCTTGCATGATGAATTCAAATTGGTCGGCAGGTGATTTCTGCTTTCCCTACAATTGAAGAAAGTGAAAAGGCATAAAGTAAGTTTAGGCAATCTACACAACTCTGAACTACGCTTTAAAGTTGTCAAAAGCCTTGAAGTAATTAAAATAGATTTACACTGCAAACATGCTTCCAGTATTTTCTTGAATGGTTAATAAGGATATTTGTCTCAACTCCAAGAAGTCAAGAAAATGAAAACCGACCACATGGCTTTATAATCAAAAGCTGCTTCAGTCTTAGCTTTTGAGACCGTTGAACAAAAAGGGCAGCCCGGTGCACTAAGCTCCTGCTATGTGCAGGGTCCGGAGAAGGGCCGGACCACAAGGGTCTATTGTACAAGGTCAAAATTATGAATTCGCCAAAGATGTATATGAACTCAGCAAGCAATCTGTGCAGAGATCTGAAAATAAAAGGTTTGAGATTAACAAATCATAGAGCATATTAGGACTCGTCAGATGTGGACCAGTTTTCTTGTCCCCACAAAAAAGAAAAATCATAGAGCATATACCCAAAATTTTCTTGGCCATCAGATGACACTTTGCAAGATAATTAAAGAAAAAGATGCATATGCATCTCAATAAGTAAAATGGGACAGATACCTCAGGAAGATAGCCAGCAAAATCTGACTCATCAGGATTTTCTTTGTCTACCTCTGAAATAACCATCCTATACAATTCATTCGGATGAACAGAATATAACTCTCGGATGATCACTAGCTGGCAAAATGTGTTTCCATCTTGACTTTCTGCTTCTATGCGAGAAACTGAAGAAATTGAGAAGCTTCAGTTAAAGGACCAATTATAGAAATGCAACAGCTGGTCAATCAACAGAGTCGATGAAACCATTTTATCGCCTTAGCAAAATCCCAATGCACCCCCCAAAATAAATCAGAAGAAATGTACTCTAGACAGCAAAAAGCACACGTAACGCTCCTCTATATTAATTTACATCACTGTAGGAATCTAGAACCACATCATATTTAAGTTTAAAAACTAACAGCCAGAGAATGTGGATTTGGAAAAAGAAGTTCACATAGAAACCAATAAATTATGGAATATACCTGATTTTTGTCTGCAAAAGTCCGAACTAAATAACCTTTTCTTCTAACTATAGACTGATCTACTTAATTACTTATATATTTCAGAAAGCATCGCCTTCAGATTTAGTATTGCAAATTATGCATTAGAAACTTTATACATTAAAAACAACCATTTTTCTACTTCTCTTCTCTTCCTAAAAGCCATCTTCTTGTATCAAAACACCCACAAACTGATATACCATTCTTGTTCTTGGAGAGGAGCTACGAGATTCAGTCACTACCAGACATGCACCAGATTTCTATCATAGTACTCAACTACTCACCAACATCAACCTTTTCTGTTTCTCAAAAAGAATGTAAAATTTTAATATGATACCAGCATTAGACACTGGAAGCCATGATAGTCATCCACTAAATAAAGATCAATAGATTATGAGCAAGCAAAAATTTTCATCAGTAATTCCAGATTCCAAACTCCAAACTCTGTGGACAAAAGACACGAGAAAAGGAATACATGAGAGAAGGCTGAAGGAGGTTTTGTCAGCTCGTGGTGAAAACTTTTTGGTTATTGCATCGGTACTAAGATTCCATTGCAATTGCACTTATCCCTTCAAAAGCTACTAAAAACATGAAATCGTTTTTGATATAAAGCTCTCCTTATCAAAATATACTATGACATTTTCATTGCATGCTTTTTTTCATCTAAATCCCTTCAAATAACGTACATCACCAAGCTATATGATCATTAGATTTTCCGCATGCATTAAGAGTGTCCACAGTTTAATAATGAGCCTAAATGGTATCTATATGAACTCTATTCACCATAAAGTAACAATGCAACCCAACTTGTAATGCAGCATATCTAGTAGGATATATCACACCCTCCCGATTACTCCCTGCATCTTACCCTTAACCAAGTAAAAAAAATAAAAATGAAATCCCACGAGAAGAATGAAACAATATAGAGACAGAGGGTGTGCTTGGAGACCAACAATCATCCTAACACCACCTGGTTCCAAACCACTGTGAACAGTATCAAGATTGTATGGAGCAATCAAAGAGATAGTACCTTTGTCATACTTACTGCCATTAAAATTCACCTTATGAACCTTGATAACGTCATCAAAGTGAAAAGCATCCATTTTCACAGCAAACCCTCCAAACAGAAAATTAACCTACTACACAAAAAAGATATAAAGGAGGATTATGATCTTTGCGTTAGCGATGAGAAACCTGGATTTTGCAACAAAAAAATGTACAGCTATTGGGTGTGTTTGGTATGAAGGAAATCCAATTTTTGCTTGGTTGGTTGGCTTAATTGTTTTGGATAACATTTTCCTCATGAACTCATTTTCCTCCAATTGGAGGAAAATGTTTTCCTTATCAAGAAAAGGGAAAACATTTTCCAAAACTCCTTCTCAACCTTCCCCACCCTATTCCCTATCCTCACCAACTCACCCCACACCCCAACCCCACCCCCAACCCCCGCCCCACCCCATGCCTAACCACCCCACCCCGCCCTAAATAAAAATATTATTAATACTATTTTCTTTTCATGTTATAGATGGATTTTTTTTTTGCATTTCAAATGGGTATTTTTTTTTTTTACATGATATAAAAAAGTATTTTTTTTTTATTTCAACAAAAAAAGTACTTTCTTTTCATAGAAAAAGTATTTTCTTTCATCTCAATAAAAAAAATATTTTCTTTTCATGATGTAAAAATATTTTTTACATTTCAACAAAATGAGTATTTTTCTTTTCATGATGTAGATGAGGTGTGAGAGGTTAACATTGGAAGGCCTACGGAGTGGTAGAGGTAGGCCAAAGAAGAGGTGGGGAGAAGTGATTAGGCAAGACATGGCGCAACTTCAGCTGACCGAGGACATGACCCTTGATAGGAAGGTATGGAGGTCGAAGATTAGGGTAGTAGAGTAGGTAGTCTAGAGTGTTCATAACAGTAGTATTGGCACGCAGTCTCGCTTTCTGTTGGTAGTAGGTTTTTATGACTAACCGTTGTTTTCTTTCATTGTTGATCACCTTACTATATTGTTGTTTTTATTCTGCTTGTATATGGCTTTTTGGTACTGTCCTTTCTTGTCTATAATTTCATTAGTGTGGTGCTTATACTTTCCTGAGTCGAGGGTCTATTGGAAACAGCCTCTCTATCCTCACAAGGTAGGGGTAAGGTCTGCGTACACACTACCCTCCCCAGACCGCACAGTGTGGGATAATACTGGGTATGATGTTGTTGTTGTTGATGTAGAAAAAGTATTTTCTTTTATTTCAATAATCATGTTGTAGAAAGAGTACTTTCTTTTTCAACCAAAAAGAGTATTTTCTTTTTAGTTATGGAGCACAAATTTTAACGTTATTTTTGCGTAAAAAAGTAAAGCAACAATTTGTTCCTTTGGGTTTGTGTGAATTTTTAGAAAAATAATTAAATTCTTGAAGAAATTAAAGTCATGAAAACGTTGGTTTTTTTTTTTTTTTTAGGGTTTAGGGGGGGGGGGAGAGGGGGGGTGGGGGATACGGGGAGGGGTAACAAGGTAACGGTGGTTTAGGGGGGTAAGTTTGGGGGGGAAATTGGGGGGTAA